CTAGAAGTGTTTGCCCAGCATGATGGGTTTCAGTTTTTTTAATTTATTTTTTAGGAAAAGAGTCTTGAACTTTGCCTTTAACCACAGTTACAACCACTCCCTGTGCTGAGACCCATCCCTTCTTTGCTAGATGTCTGGACCCTGAAGGCTTTTAGGTTTGCAAACCTTAGACTGTCACTTGAGCAGAGTGTGAAATAGCACGAGGAAAGCATGGGAAACTTGCAGAGGGATTGGGTCGTGGAAGGACTTGAATGTCATGCATTGGCATGTTACACCTTTGCAAGTGGTAGGGAGCCAGTGAAGGGTTTTGAGTGGAGTACTGAAGTATTAGGCTTTGTCTGCCAGGATGACCTATATGGAATCTGGGGAGATCCATTAGGAGGTTTTGGCAGTGGCCCGGTGAAGAAGAATGAAAGACTTGAACTAGATTGGGGCCGTGAGCACAGGAAGAAGAGGGTGGTTTGACAGCTGTTAGGGAGGCTGACTTACTGCCAATTGGTAACTGATGAGCTGTGAGGTGTTGATTGAGAATAATGGTACCAGTAACAGAAGGGGTTTGGAGGTGGGAATAAGTGTGGGCCCAAGAGGCATTTAGTGGTGATATAATGGATTTGAAGTGGGAGGCTGTCTTTCTGCTCAGGCTGCTCAGTAGAGCGGTTGAAAAGTTGGTTCATAAAAGACTCAGTGTTGTGAGAAATAGTTTTGAACTTTTTTGAAGAGCTTATATGAATAACCTAATTGTTTTTGACGACCCAGTGACTTAATGTAGTTATTGTCCTGTGTGGGCGGTCTCTACTTGGTCCAGGTGCAGGTAGTTCTAGTCCTTGGTGGTTGTCAGTAAACCAAGGCTGTCAGTTGCAGGACTGGGTGGTAAGTACACAGGGAGAAATATTAGCATGAACTAGTGAGAACTGAGGTGGGAGCATCTTGGGCTTATTCAGAAGTTGCATGAAAAACTGGGTTGTGGGGCCGGTGGCTGGAAGGCTTGCCTTGCTTGGCATTGGCTGGATCGACAACAAACCCAGACTTGCACACACACTTCGCCCAGACTGGGATTTGGCAAACCTGCTGCATGCTGGGTGGGAGGCCTGGCTCAGCAGCCAGCCTACATGTGCACCTGTGGTGGTTCTCGCAGGTGAACGGTTTTCAGTGTGTCTACCTGCTAGAGAGAATTACTCAGTGAAGAGTTCTTGAATCTCTTATGTAAGAGGCCTGGTTCACAGAAAGCCTTTGTAAATTATAAAAAAGATGGCAGTTAATGAGTGTTTGAATGATGCTTAAGCCTAGCCTGTTTTTGATCAAAATAATGTTATACTTGTATTTTGTATTGGGCTGGAAGTTTGCTTTTGGGCTCAGTATATAATGAGTGGATAAAGGAACAAAATGCTCAAGATTTAGTACTTAGAATTTTATAGGTTTATAGTTTGTATCTTTGCTTATGGCTTTCTCAGCTATGTTAATTTTTTTTTTTTGATGCTGAATCCTAAGGAGCCTTTATTCATATAACCCTAATTCCATCAAAAATGTGCTGCCAGTGGATCATCTGTTATATAACATAATTTCCATTCTACAGGGTTTTTTTGTTAATGTTAATATATTGCACAAGTAGGAGTTATAAAAACTGTTTCATAATCTTTGTGATTGACTTCATAAGGTGTATTTATAGAAAATTCTGATTAAAAAAATTTTAATCTACCTAAGCATTTTGCTTTAGATATATTTAAGGTGAACACATGAACACATTAATAGAATTTGCTTGACTATTTACTTCTCAGTTTGAATGATTTTTTTGTTCTAGTTCAGGATCACAGACCTTCTTGGAACATTTAAAATTGCTCATAAAGGGGCGCCTGGGTGGCTTAGTTGGTTAAGCATCTGCCTTCGGCTCAGGTCATGATCTCAGGGTCCTGGGATCGAGCCCTGCATTGGGCTCCCTGCTCAGCGGGGGGCCCGCTTCTCCCTCTCCCTCTGCTGCTCTGTCTACTTGTGATCTCTCTCTCTCTCTCTCTCTGTCAAATAAAATCTTTTAAAAATATAAAATCGCTCATGAAGTGTTAAGGCCTTTGATTAGAAATTTAAAATCATGCCTTGAATTTTGTGCCCACTTGAAGATGCCACTGAAACTGGAGTTTATTTCTGATAGCTGGTCTTTTGTTAGCCTAAGTCAGGCTCCCTTTAAGGTTTTTGTTTGTGGTTTCGTGAGCTACAGCTTTAACACAGGCAGGTGGATTCAGGATGTCGGTTCAAGCCCCACTGGGGCCGAGTGGCTTGAATTTACATGGTATCTGTTTAAAACAATTTCTGAATTTTCCTCGGGTAAACTCTGTGGTGGTTATTTTCTCAAGATCCCTTCCTTGCTCTGCCACCTCCCTCTTGCTCATCTTCATTCTCTGAGGATTTGAAGGGGGGGGGTGTTTCTGTATTTCTCTCTGTGTTTCTCTTTGTATTGGTGGTTTCTTTGTTCCAAGGAAGAACCCTGTTTTCTACTTCTAGTGTTCTGTTCCAAAACTACATGCTCTGCTCCAAAATTGCCTGTCACCTGCGAGATGGCAGAACAAAGCAGGCAGCAAAGCTGTCCTTTGGGGATGGCAAACATTGTGAATCTTCGGCAAACAGATCCAAGGATGGCTTGATCTTTTCCAAATGGGTTAGGGTAACCCGGGGACCTTACTTGAGTTATGGTAACAGCAGCTTTACCATCAAATTCTCCTCAGGGTATAGCTTTTGAGAGGAAAAAGCCTCTTAAAATGGAGAGCTTTTATGGCTTTTATTACTAGTTTAATCTGTGTTAAAGGAAATACCTAATCAGATATTGACAATATAGACCATCTGTCTAAATAGGAATATTTTCCTGTAAACCCATGACAGCCTTACATTTTCTCAGATTGACATTCTGTGACAAATGCGGCATTGTGGGCCAGACATTTTTCAACGTTAGATTGCATCCTTTATTGTTTTAATTAACCTCAGGGCAGAAGAATAATGCTAAAAAAAAAAAAAAAGGAGGCGGTATTCTTTTGAATCAACATGGCAGCAGTTGAAAACATATTGGAAAACAACTAATATAAAAAAAAGACTTTGCAAAGGGTTTAAAGGTTTTAAAACTAAAGTTCATTTTTCTAAAACCAGTAGATACCATTTAAGCTTAGTGTCCATAAACTGTTTTAGGGCAAGGATAATATCTTCACTAGAGAAGTCACCTATGTCTAAGGCAGGACCTACAGATAGAAGACACACAGGTAATGTTTATAGAATAAAAATGTTAGGTGGAGATGTGCACGCTTTGCTGTTTTTTTCCTCATGAGTGATATTTGTCCTGTCGGGGTCTTTTGTGTCTGAAATGGCAGGGCTCTTCTTGTTCTCTGTCCATTTCTCTTATGTCTTTTAATGACTGCTTGATCTTGCAGAACCTGAGTTTTAAGGAGCGAGCTAAAAATAGACTTGTCACTGTAAGCACCTCCTCGCATCTGCTTTTTTTCTGGGTCCCTGCAAGGTTGACCAGCTTTTTTTGGAGTTGCACATCAAAAACAGTTGGTGGAAAACCAGCATCTGTTTAGTCAACATTTCCATTGTTAGAAGACTATGTCAGAGTTTAAAGTTTTTTTTTTTTTAACCAAGAATGTGCTTGCTTACAGAGCAGTGGGATTGTGTCCAGTGTGGAGAGGGTTCGGTGCAGCCATGTGGAGGTTGCTCAGGGCCGGCTAATCACACCATATGCAGGGTTTACAAAAAGACCGCATCCTCCAGTCGAGCACACATGGATTACTGTTTTCTGTGTTTGGTCAGGTGACTTTTTAAACGCCAGGCGTGCACTGGACACTAGAGTCTGAAGTTGATTCCTCTAAGGTTTGCTCAGGATCCGGTGGGAGAACGCTGACTTGGGGTGCAGAGCAGGATGTGGGTCCCAGACTCTGCCACCTTCCAGCTGAATTATCTTGGTCACCTCTTTTGTCACATAGAAAATGGGGGTGATCATGCCTGCCTAATGCATATGAAGAATGTGGTACACCGTGCTGCCTGAAGAAATGATTTTGAAGGTAAAATTAGGGAGCAGTGTCCTCTTAGATATGTACATACAACTGTGTGTTTCATTGTTTTTAATAGCTTTTACTTAATCTCCCCTTGATTTTGAAAATATTGGACCCTGTTGCTATCATTCTACCCAACCCCTGCTGTGGATCAACCCAACCTCCCAGTTTAGAATATTAGAAATAAGCATAGTTCTTAATGAGAACCCCAGTAGTCATATGTCTGATGGATTTCCTTTATTTCCTTTTGGTTTTGATGGTTGGAGTACATTTTTAAAAAGCTTTTCAGTGACACCATAACTTTATCTTTTAACTGCATGAATAAGAGGCCTCCCCCCTTGGTTTTTAGGAAAGATGTAGGAGGTGTGATGTATGTTCTCATTATAGAAAGATAATTAATTGTACTGATTTTTGCCAAAGGATGTTTATTAGTATATTGGGAAATAGCATTCAGAATAATTTATTAAGTATGTTTTGTGATTGTGACATCTTTAGACACATTATATAAATCTGAGTAAACTAATTTAGTAAACCTGACTGTAAAATTTCTATTTTTAATTTAATTTTTATCATGGTATAAAATTTAAAAAGTACCAAAGGGTGTGTGCGTGTGTGTGGATATTGAAAAGCAAGTTTCCTTCTTTACCACATTCCCTAGCCTCCCAATTCCTCCCTACAGAGACAACCACTTACATGTTTTTAAAAACAGAAATCTGGGTTTACTCATGCCTTGTCTTTTTTAGCCTTTTGGCTCAGGCCAGGCACCTGTGTGCGTGTGCTATAATTTTTGGTTGTAAGTTAGAGGAACCTAGGAGCAGGTTCCTCATAGGTGTACAATTGGGTATTGACAGACATGAGGGTTGTAACTTCTGTGATGATACCTCTTATTCAGTGGAACCAGCTTTTGGAGCCCATGTTTCCCTGGCTTTTGAGTGTCTTGATTTTCACATCTGTGTTTTTCCCATTTTCCAGCTGCAGCATGAGAAAGCGGAACTAGAACAGCATCTCGAACAGGAGCAGGAATTCCAGGTCAACAAACTGATGAAGAAAATTAAAAAACTGGAGAATGATACAATTTCTAAGCAGCTTACATTAGAACAGGTAAAAATCTATATAGTTCTCTCCATATACTTTTTTCTCTTATTAGCTTTTTCTTTCAGGCCTTCAGATACCCTGAGGAATGTAAGTGAAAAATACTTTTCAGCTGTTTCTTCCCACAGTGGAGACTTCCTTTCTGAAGTAAGCATTGACAGAGCTGCCTAGCACCTGTTCTCTCTCTCACACACTTTCTCTTTTTTTTAACTGCAATTAATAAAGTTTCTGGGGATATGTTGTGATATACTGATTTATAGGCAGGAAATGTTAGGTTCCTTTTACCAAGGGGAAACAATGTGTTTTTAACCACAGGATGGTTTCTGTGAAAGTTCCCGAGACAGTGTGGCTGTGGAGCTAAAACTTTTCTTTCAGAGGTTCTTCAGAACAAACAGCATTTTTCTTCTTTGAATTATCTTTTCCCAGCTCGATTTGTTGATACCGGTATGGAGTCATAGACTTGGTTGCTTAACTTGGTTCAGCCACCAACTAGTTGTATGACCTTGCATTGACTTCATTCACTTCTCTGGGCCCAAGTTTTCCATTTGTAAACAGAGGAGGACAAACTGAAATCAGAATGGCAAGCTTAAACAGGTACAGAAGATGGAAAGTAATAGTGTATGGTCCTGTTGTCCATTGCCCTTGGCAGACATTGGTATTTGAGCACGGGCCTTGCCTAGGGAGTCCAGACTGGTCCTTATGCTCTTCGACACACAGAACTGTGGACAGCCATTATCAGCCTATCCAAGTTGGTATGTCAGACAGAAGTACTTGTTATCCCTAGCCTCGGTGCTCCCTGATGCCTTCCCCCCAATCTAATGTCCTGGGATTTTACTTTCCCTAAGATAAATTATAAGAAGCTGACCATAGTGTACTGCGATCTGGTTTCCATGTAAAATTCAGTGTATTGATGAAGATCATCCAGCTTTTTGTAATTTCAACCCTGATTGCCAATTCGATGGTTTGGCTAAGCCATTCATGCAAAGTTGTCTGATTTATCCCAACTTTAGGGTCTTTCTGTGTGTCTCAGTTCATGCTGACTCGTTCTGAAATCACCCCCAGGGCCGCTCTAGTTTCATTATTGTCCCTGAGAATGAAGTGGTGACGGGAATGTCATCTTTGAGAGGAAGTCAGGGTTGGAATTAATCTGACATCTGTTTTCCGTGTTATTCTTGAATTTCCCTGTATCAAAGGGAGGAATGTCACTGAGTTTTCTAAGACTGTGAATAATGGTCCTAAAAACATTTCTCTATCCCGTCCAGGTAAAAGAAAAAAAGTTCCGTTTTCAAAGGTTGGCTATTTTATACATATCCAGAGTAATCTATACTTACCATTTGTCTTCGGATTTCAGATGCAATACCTAAATTTAGAAAACACCTACCACACACAGTTTAAAAACATTTTATTCCAAAGTTCACCTGCTTAATTTCTAAGATAAGCAGTAACCAGTTCCACTGAAGTTAAAGCTTTGAAGATTCTTGTTTAAGTCTCTGACACACCAAATACTTGTTATTGGTACTTATTAATCAAGAGCTAACCAAGTGACCAAGTGAAATTCTCACAGGGGTGGGTGTTGTGAGAACTTCACTTGGTCACGGCCTTCATGGTGGTGGCTGTCAGGAATTGAAACAGCTTCTTTCTTGTATTTGTTTAGAAGCTGAGGCGACTTTGGAGATGGGGCTATGACCCTCAGGGTTTAGCTGTGGCCACAAGGTGGAGGTAGTGGCCTGGTGTCCGAGAGAGGACAGTCTGATCTTAGAGTCCATGGGGAAGAGAGAATGGATTGCTGCAATCTTAAGACTCTTTGGGGACTTTAGTAACTGAAACCCTTTAAAATGATGTCCAAGGCATACATTCTCACCAACTTAATGACACAGTGCACTTTCAGGGTTATTTCAGACCTCAATAATAAAGAAATGGAGTTCACGGTGGAATATATGCACTGCAAAGGCAAAGCCCTATCCTGGAAATAAACCTCAGATCTGGGATATCAAGTTCCTATGTTAATTAAGATGGAGAAATTTAACGTCATCATGAAACTTCCCCCCCTTTGTTTTGGATATGTCTGGGATGATTAAATGTTGGGGATCTTATTCTGTATTTTGTTTAGCTATAAATAATTTTAGTCAGTGCTTTGGGGGAATGTTCTTTTGTTTTTCCTCCAGTAAAAATAAATCTCTTCTGTGCTTCCATGAATGTGATCTGATCCTTTCTTGTGATTATCCTTCATATGATACACTGTAGGTCACAGTCTATATTACAGAATATATCCTATACTATAGGTCATTATCAAGAGCAAAGGCATGTACTACATTTTGTATTATAGTGATTTTTCTGTAGTACATGCCTTTGCTCATATATCTGACAGTAAACCTATTTTTTAAACTGTAAGCTATTTGGAGGCAATTATCCCATGTGTCTTACGGTCTCCTACTGCTTTGTTGGAAGAGTTTAAGTGTAGATTTGGCCAGGTAACTGGAAAGTGGTCATTTGTATTTTGGAAGGAGGTACAGTGCAGTGTTCAGGGCCCAGGCACTGGATTCCAAAGGAACTGGATGGGAATCTGGTTCCTTTGCTTAATATCCTAGATCACTTTCTTATTGGCGGTGATGGTGATGGTAGCAGCTTTATCGAGATAAATTCACATACCATAAAAATTCTCCATTTAAAATGTACAATTTATTGATTTTTAGTCTATTCAGAGTTGTGCAACCATAACCACCATCAATTTTAGAGCATTTTCATCGCCTCAAAGAGAAACCCTGTACCCTTCAGCTGTCACTCTGAATTTCCCATTCCCCTGAAGCAGCCACTACTCTACTTCCTGTCTGTATTTGCCCATTCTGGATACCTCATAAAAATGGAATTATATAGTATGTCCTCTTTTGCAAGTGGCTCCTTTCACTTAGTATAAGGCTTTTATCCATGTTGTAGCCTATATCAGTACTTGACTACTTTTCCCAACTGAATAATGTTTCACTGCATGGATATATCATATTTTGTGTATCCATTCATCATTTGGTAGACATTTGGGTTGTTTTAACCCTTTGGTTATTATGAATAATGCTGCTGTCAGTATTCATGTACAATTTTTTTTTTTTAAGATTTTATTTATTTTGGAGAGAGAGTGCACTTGGGAGAGCATGGGGGGCAGGGGGAGGGACACAGAAGGAGAGAATTTCAAGCCGACTCCTCATTGGAGTGCAGAGCCCACTGTGGGTCTTGATCTCACGACCGTGAGGTCATGACTGGAGCTGAAACCAACTGAGCCACGCAGGTCCCCCTCATGTACAATTTTTCATGTGGATATATGTTTTCATTTTTCTTGGGCACATATCTAGGAGTGCATTTGCTGGATTACATGGTAACTCCGTGTTTACCATTTGGGGGGATTGCTAGCCTGTTTATCTTTGTTTTTCTTTCTTTAAAGATTTATTTATTTATTTTAGAGAGTGTGTGAGCTGGGGGTGGGGCATGGGCAGAAGGAGAGGGAGAGAAGCAGACTCCCTGCTGAGTGCGGAGCCCACTGTGGGCCTCAATCCCAAGACCCTAAGACCATGACCTAAGCTGAAATGAGTCAGACACTCAACTGACCGAGCCACCCAGGCACCCCTGGACTTTTTTCAAAGTGGTTGTACCATATTGATTAAAGCCATCTTGGTAAATGTGAAGTGGTACTCATTGTGGTTTTGTATTTCCCTGATGGCTAATGATTTTGAGAATCTTAGGTGCTTCTTGGCCATTTTTATATCTTTCATAAACATGTCTATTTAAGATCATTTTATTATTGAATTATAAGAGTTCCTTACATATTCTAGATACAATTCCCTTATCAGATACATTGTTTGCAACTCACATGCCAGGAGGCCCTCACTGTAGACTAGGATTAGTCTACTCAGCATGACTTTAGTGTTGTGATGGGCTTTTTTTTTTTTTAACTGGTGGTCGCTGCCTGCAAAACCCTTATTTGAAAATTTTTGTTCAAACGTGATCATTGTTAGTCTCTTATTTGGTATTCACATTTTCTTAGGTGACAGTAAGAACATTTAAAACTTGGAATATTCTCTTAGTGTCAGGAAATCTTGACCTTGAATGTTTTTTCCCAACCAGGAAGGATTTTTCTTTTTCTCTGGAGAAGGATAACTAGCATTAAGAGGGAGGCAGTACTAGCTTATTTATTAAGTGAAGTTCAAGTCAGCAGCTGTGGAGGGCCCTCTGTGCGCTTGGCATGGAACACTGTGGGAAAGGGGGAGACAGTGACCGTAAGCAGGTGGACTAGGTACTTAACCATTGTTAATGGAAGTACAACAGGAAAAAATGGAATGAATTAATGGGGAATTAGTCCTGTAATTCAGCTAACACTCGCATCATGAACAGGGTCACCTGCCACATACCAGATGCCCTTCCTCTGTTCTCCTCTCCCTGGCCCAGCAAGTGTGGTCTTCTCTGTTATTTCTGGAATTTGGGGTGTCTTCTTTTATCTGAGATAATCCAGGCTCCCAAAAGCAGAGACACTCTTGTCTAAAGTTGGATTCAGAATTGGATGGTAATTTCATTCATTAGCCTCTGTTTACAAATGATAGTATCTTAGCCCATGTAGCATAGGAAGACTCTTCCTTGGGTTCAAATCTTCCTTCCATCTGAAGAACCTGTGCGACATCAGGCAAGCAATTTGAGCAAATTCGTAGCTTTGTTGAGAGGATTACTCTTGCATCCTGCCTCTCCTCACACTCCACGCATAGTGAAGTTCTTTCATCCCTCCACTCGGAATTGTTTCACTGTGGACAAAAGAGAAGTTACCATGGCAACCCAGGACACTAATGTGTTTAACCATACACGTGATGGGGACAAGTTTCCTAAAACAGTGTTTCTTGTGCTTTGCGCTGATTTTCTATTGAATTCTGTTTCATTTTTCGCAAAATGTAGGTCACAACGGACTCATTTCACAGTCCAGTAATGGTTCATGACCGGCAGTTTGAAAACCATGCTGTGCTGTGCGCCATGCTGTC